GTGCATGTCTTGTCTACAATATCGTTTGTCAGACTATTTATTGTCTGTAACTATACTATCTTGTCAATATATACATACATATATATATATATATATATATATATACCCATAAACGAAATGGTTTATTCCACCGTTCAAAAAACCATAAAGGTTCATAAAAAACTTTAAAAGTCTCACTGAAAACATTAAGGTGCAGCGTTCTCACTATGGTGTATGTACATCTATGCATACAACATTTTTAAAATGCATATTCGTGAAGCTACAGCTGCACATTCAGTGAATCTGTGTACAAAGGTTCGGTACAATTCGCTCAGTTGCGGGTTTCAACTGTGGTGTATGTACATCTGGAACACTGTATGTACAACAGGTGTATTTCTGATGATGCTACAGCTACATATTCAGCTGCTTTGTGTACAAGTGTTCGGTACAATTCGCTCAGTTACTGGTTGTTGACTTAAATGCATATCGTACAAGTATGTTTACTAACCTACAGCTACACATTCAGTTTTTTTAGAACAAAATTTCGGTACAATTCGTCGCTCAGGTGCTGGTATCAACTATGGTGTATGTACATCTGGATATACTATATATACAACTGACATTTCTGGTGATGCTACAGCTAAACATTCAGTACCTTTGTATACAAAAGTTCGGTATAATCCGCTCAGTTGTGAGTTTCGACCATGATGTATGTACATCTTGATATACTGCATATTCAAAAAGCATGTCTCTGAAGCTACAGCTATACATCTATTGTAGCTTGTGTACAAAATTTCGGTACAATTCGCTCAGTTGCGTTTCTGACTATAATATATATCGTACAAGCATAACTATTAAGCTATACAAAAGTTCGGTTCAATTTACTCATTCTGACTATAATTTATATCGTACAAGCACAACTATTAAGCTATAACTACATATTCAGTGTAATTTATGTACAAAAGTTCGGTACAATTTACTCAGGTGTTGTTTTCTGACTATAATTTATATCGTACAAGCATGTTTTTTTGAGCTACAGCTATATATTCAGTGTATTTTTTGTACAAAAGGTCGGTACAATTCGATCAGGTGCTGGTTCTGACTATAATATCGTACAAGCATGTCTATTAAGCTAAAGCTATACATGCAGTACATTTGTGTACAAAAGTTCGGTACAATTCGCTCAAGTGCGGGGTTCTGACCATGGTATATGCCGTGCTAGCATCATCAATAAGCTACAGCTGCACATTCAGTGCAGTTTTGTACAACTTGTCAGTGATTCAATCCAACCCCGCTTAACAAGCCTTGGCTAAGAACCCTAAACAAACCCTAAACCCTAAAGTTCTACCTGGTCTACCCTCAAACCCCACTAAAACGTACTCTGGCGTAGTAGATGGTCGGTGACGTAAACTGTTTTTCTCTCCACTACAGGCAACACCATCACGGACACATCGCAGCAGGACTATTTGTCAATCATAAGAACAGAGTGACTGTGGGTAGGTATTCTAATGCCTGCATTACATGTGGATGTGTGTATGGTACTCCCGTGCTTTGGGGAAGTATGGACATGTCCGTGTCTATTGTTGTTACAGGTATTTTTATGTCAACATATATATACACATGTAAATGCAGTAGATACATACACACACATATATATATATATATGCATGGATATGTATGTTTGTGTGTGTGTGTATGTATCTTTCGAATTTGTATACGTCATAGATACCAGCCCAAGTGTGTGTGTGTCTCATTGTCTGTTTTCAAACGATGCACAATGCCATGGATGCCGTCATCTCCCTTCATGCTACAAACTGAAACCGGCCTACATTCCTACTCAATGATATGGATGCATACGCTGCCTTTAAGTATAAGGTTATATAGCTACATATAGTCATATAGCTATATAAAAATTTATAGGTATATGGTTATGTATAGTTGTTTAGTATATACCCATACCTTTCCTCTCGCCACCATAGATAACCGCCTGTGCAACTTAGAGCTCTCCAGTCGCTCAGAACTCTGTGATTTCGATCCCGATCACTTCGTACCGAACTGTGAGGGAATCAGCTTATATCAGGCGGCCATCGATCAACTGCCCAATATCAAAGATGGCATTAGCGGTAAGTGTTTTCGGTACGCACCTAGGTATGGGCGTGAAACACACCTATGTGTATATCATGTAGTTAGTTGCATTACGTGATATAATTTGCATGTGCATCGTCTTGTTTGGCATATGTTAATTTGACTGAGTATGGGGAGTATATCTCGCGTTCCAACCGGGTGATCGCACAGTTTCGAGTGTCCATATTGTGTAGGCCAAAAGAAGTTTAACTCACGATTAATATATAATGATATCTTTTAGGAGAGACTACGTATTTGTGTATGCAATAAGAGGTTTAACTCACGATTAATGTCCAATGATATATTTTAGGAGAGACTACGTATTTGTGTATGTAATAAGAGGTTTAACTCACGATTGATATCCAATGATATATTTTAGGAGAGACTACTTATTTGTGTATATAATAAGAGGCTTAACTCACGATTGATACCCAATGATATATTTTAGGAGAGACTACGTATTTGTGTAGGTAAAAAGTACTCACGAATCACTTCCCAATATGTCAAGAGCAGGAGAGACTGTGTGAATGTGTAGGTAAGAAGTGGTTTTACTCACGAATCACTACCATTTTGTAGGGAAAAGGAGGGATTACGTCGGGGACGAAGAAGATGAGGAAGAGTTTATTGAGTGTCATTGGCCCCCCTGTTGTCACTTGCGCTTCGGCGGTGACGGGTTTGTGAAGTGCAAACGCTGTGGGTGCACATACTACTGTGGTCTCAAATGTCGGCAGGTGTGTATGTCGTATGTGTATGATATAACTTCCCAATGCATATGCTTGATGTTTGGTTCAGATATACGGTGTGTGTGTTGTATGTGTATGTTATATATTCCCAATGCATATGCTTGATGTTGGGTTCAGATATACGGTGTGTGTGTTGTATGTGTATGATATATCTTCTCAATGCATGTTCTTGATGTTTGGTTCAGATACTTTGTTATATAGTACTCTTGACGTCTGTTGTAGGTAATTAGATATTGAATAGCCTTGACGTTTGGTTTATATATACTCAGTTATTGAAGAGTTGCATGTACGTGTGTGAAACTATACCTTATATCATCGCTGGTGCAATTCGTATGCCGTGAACATTTTGCAGGTAACGGACTTGTGAAGCACAAAGACCGCCGTAGTTGTGCCAGTTGCTAGGGACCTATAGGCTATCAGATATATGTGAAGAATGCAATGTGCTAGGGACCTATAGGCTATCAAATATATGTGAAGAACGCAATGTGCTAGAGACCTATAGGCTATCAGATATATGTGAAGAACGCAGTGTTTGCGTCGAGTTGACTCACATTTGTGTGCGGCTACATATCGATGTAGGTACACTCTATGATCCTAATTTCGGCATCAATGCTGGGCAGGCGCTGCACTACGCTTCTAGATAACCCGGATGAATGTCAAGCAGACACTTTGAATCTATGTAGTTTTGCGTTATTAAAAGTGAAGTATGGTTAAACGCCGATAGCCCCCTCGGTTGTAAACTTTCCTACCAGCACCTATGCCCGTAGGCCTATTTTGCTGCAACATTGCGTTAAACGGCCAATCGCGCCGTTCCATCTTTTCTTGTAGCTAAAATGATTTTTATCTTTTCCTTGTGTTTAGTTGGATTGGGTGAATCATAAGAAGCACTGCCGGCGATGGAAGAAGCGCAAGCTCATAGAGCACGAGAGGCATGTGGAGAGGTGACAAATGCTCAACACTCGGCTTAGAAGGGCACTCGTACCTAAGCGACACTCTCTGAACAGTATTAGCACACATCCAAGTGGTGCTAAGATGCAAGTGCTCACACTTGATGACAGTGTCATAAAACACAGGTGGATACGTGTGTTCTCAAGCGTTATAAGGCTATGTTGAATGGTTGCTAACCTGGAACATTGGGCGCAACGAATATAGTTGCTTTTATTGATAGACTACTCGTTGGTATGTTCCCAATAACCAATACTTTATGTAAATCCCCCCACCTCAGTGATGTGGTGGGAAACAGACACCGTGGCCAATCAGAGTAGAATAGCTGGCTAAGTATTGGTTCTTTTTACCAGTGTTATTATTTAGGTGTGAGGTATGGCGCAGCACACTCACGCGGATGTAAATTACACTCGCCTATATATTCATAGGTATCTAATTAAAATTAAGTCGAATTCTTTCTATATCTTTTACTAATTATTTTCGACGGTGTTAAATTATAGCTGAGGCAGACAAAGTACGTGCTATATACTTTCGAATCAGAACTCGTGGTACATTACAGCTATAGTATGCGTATATATCCATAGACTGGTGTCCGTATAAGTACACGAAGTTGAATTGCCCTATAGGCTTCTTTACGTGAATAGCCTATTCTACGTGATTAGCCTTCTCTACGTTTATTGTCTTCTCTACGTCAATAGCTTTCTCTACGTTAATAGCTTTCTCTACGTTAATAGCTTTCTCTACGTTAATAGCCTTCTCTACATTAATAGCCTTCTCTGCGATAATAGCCTTCTCTACGTTAATGGCCTTCTCTACGTTAATAGCCTTCTCTACGCTAATAGCCTTCTCTACGTTAATAGCCTTCTCTACATTAATAGCCTTCTCTGCGATAATAGCCTTCTCTACGTTAATGGCCTTCTCTACGTTAATAGCCTTCTCTACGCTAATAGCCTTCTCTACGTTAATAGCCTTCTCTACATTATGCGTCTCTAAAACTTCCACATCGAATTCGATATTTTCCGCAGAAAAAACTTTATTTGATTTTTTTGAGTCGACGTAAAACTCAGCACCACTCTCAGTTGGGTGCCGCTCTGAACTCGAAACAATTCCCTCAATTGTAATACATTACCCTCAATGTATCGGAGTATCGATATTGAAGCGCTACGACACCTCGAGCAGAATGCATGTGAAAAATAATGACAAGAGTCAAGAACAAAATATTCGACCACTTTCACAATAGCAAACAAGTTACTTTGCTATAGACGTACATTCATACACGTATGTTCACTATCCCCTCTCGGATTCGAGTGCAAACGAGATTGAGGGTGAACGTGTGTAAGCTACTGGCCATCATGAGTGCCTCCAACCATCCTTCGGTTTATCCTCTGAGCCCAACTATTGCAGATTGTGGGCTTTCAAAAACTTAGTTGACACAGGCCACCACCCCAGTTTGCCACCTCCAACCAGATAATACTTTGAGATCGGACCGGACATCCCCCCGGGACTCATGTCCTCTTCTCGATAATAGTGGTATGCACTGCCCAAATGCATTCTTTTTATCTTGTGCTTTCTGCTCAGTTTGGCCACTCCGTCGTGCACTAAGTACTGTAGTGATTGTGACCCGTTGTATCTACATCCGTGTGTACTCGAGTGGTCTAATTTTTTGGTTTTGTTGCGGGCCTCGATGTCGGGTGCCACACTGACCAAATCCGCACAGGTGGGTATTTAAGGATATACTCACGATACAGTAAATAAAATTCCAAGCGCCATTTGCTGAGAGCTGACAATCGGTGTCCTCGTGGGGCGTCAAAGGCATTGCAACCTTAGGCCAAGGGTTATATCTTTGACAATCCTCCTATTAATATGATACTCGAGTTTGGTACTAAATTTCAAGTTTTCCTGATAAAAACACAATCAACAAGCCCGTGTCTGACCGAAGTATTGAAAATGATGTGTACGTAAAGTCAGATGTGATAACGATAGACAGTATGCATTGCGGATCGATATAAAGCAGCTCTGGTTTGTCATTTTATTGGTGCATTGCTATGTTTTTTAATATAAAGGCTAACATTCAATAAATTTTCCTGTACTAGATTGAGCCATTTGCATCGCCGTGCAATACGAGTGCAATTTTGTTGATCTTGTTCAGGTTGACCTAATCAGATCATCGTTTTACGTCCAATGTCACAAAATGTCACAACTGATGCCAGATTTCAGACCGTCCCAATATACTACTGTACCTAGTGATGGCATTCAAAACCCCTATTGGTTATCTAACTTGCTTACTTCGTTGACGCACAACAGATGATTTAATCTGCATTAAAATTGGACTTTCGTCCTAACATTTATTACAATCCAGATGTACCAGACCCTTTCAAAATTCCAATACCCGACCCTTTCAAAATTCCAATACCCGACCCTTTCAAAATTCCAATACCAGACCCTTTCAAAATTCCAATACCAGACCCTTTCAAAATTCCAATACCAGACCCTTTCAAAATTCCAATACATGCACGGTCGAATATATTATTAATAAAAAAATATAGTCTAACGTTTGTACAGTCCATCGTCAATATTCAATGTGGCAGTCATATTTCACGATTTACTTGCCATTGAACTGATCGTAACGGTATGTGAATCCGTGCGGTGCTGATCATCGCAGCCTCTCAGATGAAAAATGTCTTCGATGCATTTTAACATTTTTGCAGCGGTTTTCCAGCCCGTGATTTAACTTTGACTCGTTGGTGATGACATAGTGGCCATGCACAAATGATATTGCCGTGCTATTATCATGATGAAATTCGTCATTTCACAATCTTCACAGTGGTGTCGACTTCTATTGAGCGACGATGTACTAGCCTTCGGAGAAAATACTGCACACGTTCAAAACGTGTAGTTCTACAAAGGCAAACGTCAACTTGACTAGACTCACGAGAAGTATCAGAAGCAACCTCGGACTTTGATTTTTGCGTACTTTGCGAACATTTGCCTTTCATTAAGGACGTTTTCTCGGGGAAACGTTTCTGGTAGTCAGAAACATTCAAAGACTGTTTTAAACCTAGTGGCGACTTTCCCATCTTTTCGATCTTCTTATCTGAGCTCGGTTGGCGTAACCATTTTGCCGGATTCCATATTATATACAGTACACTGTATGTCTTGAACTGATTGTGTATCGTCGAAAGTGTAGCTGTAGTACTTCAACCTGTCTGGACTAGCTAACGACTATTAGAAGTTGTAGATGTTTGAGTGAACACCACCTTTGGACGAGATTTCACAGAATATGATGTTGGATTGTTAAGGCGATCGGCCATGTTGCCGTGGTCTATCAAAACAGTGGGTACACTTGAAGATACCCCAGATCTCTTTCGCCGTTGTATATTAGACATGTCAACATGTAATTTGAACCTTTCATTAGTTGTTGATTCCTTTACGCTACTTTGTAGCCCTTCCCGGATGTTTATATACATGGATGCGCTCTTTCTGTTTTTGAAAACGAACTTTTCATTTTTATTTATAAAAAAAAGAATACTATTTGTAGATATTTATTCTGATACACTCTCAGTGACACAGTCGCACCTCAATTTTTTATTTATTCTGTCTATACTCTATACTCTATTGAAGGCTATGTTTTTTCACAGAGTATTGTCAGTTTGTCACGTATTTAATCACCAACACAGTATCATTGTGGTAAAATATTATTTATATTTATTTTAATAAAAAAAGAAAGATACATAGAAAGCGCACCACCACAGTCCAACACGGTCCGGGTCCAAAGGGCTAACCTCATCACGTATTACGCTGCAACGTTTTCAAATAAAAAAAGTAAAAGTAAAAAGGTCAACTTTTTCCTATACATTCGTAGTCCTAAAGCTACCCATAAGAGCATTGTTCAGGTCAGAGTTTTGCCCTAACACAATACCTAACATGTACTGCCATTTGCCCGCCCAATCATCGGTTCTTGAGACTTGAGCGCTGGTTGAGCGTTGTCAAGTATACTAGTCCGCTACATTGTCCCTTGATATTGACGTTCATATTTTAGCAGTCAGGTATATATAATTGATAGAGACATCGATGATTTACGGCCTACAGGTAACAGTCTACACAGTCTACCAGCACGATTAGTTTGACTTTTTATGTGTTACTAGTGATTTAGTGTCTAGTGTTTAGTGACTAGCGTGACAACTTCACAAGTTCACTAGTGCCATATTGTCAGGAAAAGTATATGCAAAGGTGATCACTTTCTAGTTGTTTTTCATTGGTCAGTTTTGCATTTCGTGGGCAAAAGTTTGAGAATAGGTGCACTTTCGTGAGCGGCAAATCTAAATAATTGAGGTCCAATTTGAAACAGTAAAACGTTGCAACGTTCTCCGACGAAAAGTAAAAGTAAAACATTCAGCTTCTATATCAATATTTATAACTTAACTATAAAAATGAGGTTAGCCACAGGAACAGAGGACCACACAGTCCACAGTCCACACCTGGCCGTGTTTGGGGATATATTTTGTGCAAATTGTGCTCCTGGAATTTTGAAATGCTTCTTGAAGTATTTGTTAGACTGTCAAGTGTCAACTTGATAGCTGTCAAATGTCAAGTGTCAACAGCAAGTATTTATAAGAGCTTAGAAGAAGTGCTTTAAATTAGGATATAACTCTGTCCGTCTGTGCACCATATGCATGTATTTAGGGTTAAGGGTTTTACTCGTCGGGATTGATTTTGACAATTTTCGGACATTTACGGGTAAATTGGTCATTTGTTCTTTTGCTGAGTTTCTGCCGTGTCTGGCACTCTTGATGTCTCGCAGACTCACACTCTCACTGGATGAATAATGTTTTAAAAAAGCAAAATAAAAAGATTTAATTTGGATGATTATTTAATGATTTGTACATATGGGGGAGGGCATGGTAGATCCGAAGGGATGGATCTTATCTTACATCCTTTCGGATCCCCACTCTTTGAAAGGAGGGGGGGGGGGGGGGGTTTAAATCAATTATAAGGTCCCTCGAATTTTCCAAAGTTCTGTCCTTATTCTCCAAATCCAAAAATCGGCCCAACAAATGATTATCACAGTCTTGGCGCCAAAAATTGCAAATTCCCAAATTCGGTAGTAATAGCTTTATTCTTAGGTTTACGATATAAGCACTTTAGTCGTCTTCGTCCTTGTGTTCCTTATGTTCTCAGAGAAAGTTAAACACTAACGCTGGACGT